GTAACTTATGGCAATAGGTCCAACTCGGACATGTTGCCATAAGTTATGTAATATTTTTTTTAAAAAAATTAGTTGAGGAATTTACCTCTCAACTAATTTTATTTTTTAATGGCTAAGAAGTATTTACAACAATAGGTACGAGGACGATTGGTCACCATAAATGATTTATGGTGACAATTTCTCTTAGGACCTATCGCCATAAATCAAAAGTTGAGGGTTTTTTGACCCTCAGCTAAATTTTAAATTTTTAAATAATTATGGCGATAGGTCTACCTTAGACTTGTCATTATATCAAATAAACTTTTTATATTATATTTTTAAGCCTTTTTCACGTCATAATTAGAGGAAACATCATATTGAGTGACTTAAAATAATCACTTATTTTACATCACAGATATCTTGTGTAAAAAACAATAAACCACATCCCATTTTATAAGGGAGATGTGGTTTCTATACAATTCATATCCCTATTTTGCTAAATAGAGATGTGGTTTTTAGACAAACCAATCTCCCTTAATAGGAGTTGGACGTGATTTATAAAGAACCACCCCTTTAGTAAGAGGGATGGGGTTTCTCATTCTCCAACTCACAAATGAGAAACCATGTCCCCTTACAAGAGGGGGACGTGGTTTCTCATCCCTACACATTCTGTATTGAGAAACCACCTCCCCATTTTAATAGCAGTGAAGTGGTTTGTTATGTATTATGTCTCTCTTTTAATATTTATGATGTGGTTTTATAATTTTTTTAATGTATAATTTGCATTTGCTTTATAATCAAAATAGAAGCTGCATATAAACAACCAATTTATATAACAAAAGTCTATCAAATTAGAAACATTTTTTAGCAAATTCAAGAAATTGATCCACATCATCATTATACTCCTCAGTCATTTTACTAGCATTCATCCAATTATGTTATTCTATTTTATCTAACAAATCATCACAAAGTCTATCGAATTAACAATTCACCAACTTATTTGTGCTCCAATTAGACTCATTTCTAAAAAAAAAAAAATCAATTTCTTAAAAAAAAATTTAGCAAAGTCTCCTCTTGAAAATTGAACATCCTAAAATTACAACAATTATAAACCAATAGATGCAGCAAGCAATTAAACAAATATTTTTTCTTCTAAACTAATTATCAAATTAAATTCAATGCATGAATTTCTTTTTTACCATTATTATATATTCACTGTATAAATAAAAACTAAAGTATTATTTTTAGTTATTTTGGGTGGAAGGTTTAATGCAAGGAGGACCTATTATTCTATAATTATAATATTATCTAAAATATTATATATATATATATCTGTATGTATGTATGTATATTTATAATATAAATCTATAATTCACTTAGATAAAATTTGACAAAATATATACAAGTAAGGAAGACCTAACCATTATCACAAATTTTTAGGTGCAGTATTATCTAAATTTTTATTAAACTATCTAATTAAATTAGACCAAATAAATCACTTAAGTGAACATAATGTGGGAAAATAATTAGGCATAACATAGAGGCAAAGCTAGTTGTGGAGAAAACTTCAAATAAAAAATAGAAAGAAGAAAACAATCCCTGGAGTTAGCGTGGTTTAGTAGAGAAAGGAGAGGAGAAGGGGAACGAAAAGGAATAAGAGGACAGGTCTCGTCAGCATAAAGGTTCAAGACATGAGTGCTGGAGCTTTGTTGACATGGAGCAGCTGAGAGAAGACGTGAGTTTTGAAAAAAATGAGACCGTGAGCTGTGACAGATGAAGATGAAGATGAGAAAGAGACAGGGAGGAGTTGGGAGAGACAGAACAGGGATAGAGAACGAGGGAGGGAGCTGAGAGATGAGAGATAGAGACAAGGATGAGATGAAAAAAATAGAGGGTTGTGAAAATGAAGCAAATGCAAGGTTCAAAAAACACAAGATTCCATATCTACCTCCTCTATGGGAACGTGGTTTTGAGAATACATGTCCCCTCCTCTTTATGGGATGTGGCTTCTAAAGAATCTACATTCCCTTTCTCTTTAGGGACCCAGATCATGGGGGACATAGATTATTAAAAATTAAAAAAATATTTTTTTCAATGCATGTCCTCTTTTTATTTGGGTGACATGAATTGTGTTTTTTTTAAATTTATTTCAAAATGTGACATAGATTAAGGTAGTAGAACTGCCTTTTTGTAGTAGTAAGTCATGTAATAATTTTTTTTAATAGCTTAGGAGTTTTAACCTTTAGCTAATTTTTGTTTTAATATTGGAGGGAATTACCCCTCAGCCAAAACTTATTGCATAACTTAATTTAATTTTAAAACATTAAAATTATAATTAATAACTTAATTTAATTAATCAATTTATTAAGTTTTAGTTAGATTGAATTAATTTTTTTTTGAATTCACACAAAATGAAAATTAATTAAAAATATATTTTAATTAGTTAGTTTTATTAATTTATTTAATTGTCACTTAGGCATTATAACGACAATTCTTTATGGGACTGTGGCCATAAATGCTACATTTTGACTTATTTACATATTTACCATTAACTGTAAATATCACAATTATTTGATAAATTGCGGCAAAAAATATATAGTTAAAACTCATGTTTGCGCAAGTTCATTTTTTTACTTAATAACTTAATTTAATTAATTAATTTATTAAGTTTTAGTTAGATTGAATTAATTTTTTTTTGACTTCACACAAAATTGAAAAATTAATTAAAAACGTATTTTAATTAGTTAGTTTTATTAATTTATTTAATTATCACTTAGGCATTTATAAGACAATTCTTTATGGGATGTGGCCATAAATGCTACATTTTTTGACTTATTTACATATTTTCCATTAAGTATATATTATCACAATTATTTGATAAACTGTGGCAAAAAATATATCGTTAAAACTCATGTTTGCACAAGTGCATCTTTTAATGCACACATATACGATAACAAATTATTATATAGATAAGTTGGTTTAAAATTGTAAGTAATTTTTGTTTACTTATCTCCTTTGCATTTTATCTTATAAAAAAAAATCTTCTACTCATTTTTAGAAATTGAACTCATTAAAATCTTTTATCCTCTCTATTCAATTGAACTCATTCAAATCTTCTCTCCTCACTATTCCTTTGCATTTATGGTAGATGGGCAACGAGAAGTTGCTAACCAATACGGCTAGGATGCGTAGGGGCATGCATGGATCAGGTGTTTGTGAGGTTTTGTGGGGAAGTAGAAATAAACGATGTATGGCGTAGGTGATTGTCAACACCTACGCTCCTCAAGTTTGGCTGTCTTGCAAGCCACATGACTGGCGAGGGAGTTTCTCTCGTGAGGATGATATAAAGGGTTGGATTCAATGGATATATAGGAGTCGAAAGTATGTGAATGGCTATGAATGGAAGCTCTAGTACCTGTGCAGTGCAAGAATGTCTGGTTAGCCAGGAATGAATGGGTTTTTCAACATCGACGGGCTGGAAGTAAGGAACTCATTGCTCGAACTCGGGCATGCCTAGGTTGGGGGTCGACTCATGAACATTATAGAACTGGATGTTTAGCACAAAGGGGAGTTAGGTGGCTGCCGCCAGATAGGGGCACTGTCAAGTTTATGTTGATGATGCATTCGATGCTTAATCTCTGGTGAGTGTGCAGTGCATGTGGAGGGCTGGTATGGAACCGCCACGTTGAGTTTATTCGAGGTCTCATGTTCAAGCTTAGTGCGGGATATACTTTTACGGCGAAAGCTTGGTGGATGTTGTTCACAAACTGGATTCAATTGTGAAGTGGGATGCTGATATAATAAGGGAAATTCAAAAGCATGCTTGGAAGGGAATAGGTTGCCGACTTGAGTCTTTGTGATTGTGAAGCCAATAGAGCAGAGTGCTTTAGGCTTGAGCTCATTCTTCAGATTTGCTGTGCAGCGATTTCTTCATTACGATCAAAGTGCTTGGACTTATGCTGCCATTATGAATAGCTGGTTTGTTTTTGTTTTTGTTTTGCTTTCCTTTCTTATATAAAAAAAGAAATAAAAATTATTTATTAATATTTGTAAAAGCATTAAATTTTAGAGAAAATGACAAAAAAATTATTCATGGTCAAAAAAATTTGCATTTGCTATCTCATTTTAATTATTGTCAAAGAAAAAATAATAATTACTTAAATCAAAGTAATCATTAATATTTATAATACCCGGACTTAGTGATTAAAAAGTTTGTGGAGGAGAATTTGTAATTACTTATCCCATTATAATTGTTGTGAAAAGAAAAAAAGTCATTACTTAAACTAAAAAGCAATCCCTACTGTTTGTAACACTTGAACTACTTCAATGATTAAAAAAATTTACAGAGCAAAATTGTCATTTACTATCATGTTTTAGTTGTTGCTAGAGGAAAAGCAATTGTTATTTAAACCAAAGTAGTTACTATATTTACAAACACTAAAATTTTAGTGATTAAAAAAATTTACTTAATAAAACTTGTCATTTACTGTCTCATTTTAGTCATTTCTTAAAAAAAAGTAATCATGATTTAAATCAAAATAGTAACAAATATTTACAACACTCAGAAGCATTATAATTATTTCACAAAACCCATTAATATCAAAAGGTCTCAAAGAACTTGAAAATAATTAGAATATTTTGCGAGACTTTTTACATTTGCATATTTTAATGAGGTTTTCTTGTCATTTTCCTTAAAGTTTAACATTGACACTTTTTTATATTTAATACATAAATAGTATTTTGCTTAAACTTGATTATCAATCAATTTTAAACTATCAAATCAATAAAAAATAAATCATGCAAGTCTATGATACTGCACTCAATGAAAAGGTCATGTTCCACCAGGGATTTTTAATGGATTGAATATCAAAATGCAATTATTTCACAGTGTTACGGATAATTCTTTGATTATATAATACAAAAACTATGGCTTGATCCTTAGAGGGAATTAACTAAGCCCAAAACTTTAAACTCCGTCTCAAAGTACAGCTATTTCTTCTTCTAAAAAGCCCTTACTTGGATCCTTTAGCTTGGCCAATGGCACCAGCGTTCTTGATCCCTATGTAATATTCAAGCTAGAGAAGTGCCTATAGACTGAAAAATAGGGAAAAAGTGATGAACATATCTTGAGGGAATTTAACAACACACACTTTGTGATTCAGTTAAAGTTTCCAATTCAGTAGATCACACATTTTGCTTCAGCATGCTATCCCTTGATTTGGTCCTTGACACGCAAAATGTAGTGCACATATAGTTTAGTGTTAGGTGGAATTGATGAGGTGTTGACACTCAAAAATAGTGGAAATATTGTTGCCCTTGCCCTCAAGCAACCCATTGGGGTAGAAAATGAGCTTCCTGCAATACCACCACCACAAAAAAAAATCTTAAAATGCACTTAAAAAATAACATTAATAAGTGATGGTTAGAGGCAGTATTTTAGACTAATTCTAGCGGGCTAGCTTGAATATCTTTGGGCTGGATTGAAGGTTTAAAAGATTTTATTTATTTTGAACCTTCCGACCACTTGAATAAATCTAAATAAATTCGAGCCAAGCTAAACTCAAATGGGCTAAGCCCGAATACCCAAATTCTTTTTTATTATTAATAAAATAATATAAAAATTAACAATATTAATTTTTCAAATAAAAGTTGAAATTAGATAAAATAAAAATAAATAGAATAATATTTCATAATTTAAATATTCAGGCCAACACAAAAGCCAAAAGAATTAGGGTCATTCTTGGTCATATGAGTTTTTTTTTATATGATAAGATACTTTAAATTTGATTAGAATTGAGCATGTCCCGCTTGAATTACTTGCCCAATATGGCATGGAAGTTAGGAAGCATTGTTCACATAATCACACATACCATTTGTAGTTTCCAGCAAGGAACTCGGACTCGTACTTTTCTAGATTAGCTTTCGAAAAATTGTCGAATTTCCACCTATAGGAAAGAGGAACGGGCTCATCTATCATTGTTAAGAATTCTTCTTTGGAAGGAGGCTTCATGACCAAGATTTCGGCTCCAAAAGCGCAGGTATCCTCAATCAGAAATCCATTTGAAGGATCCTTGAACGAGGCAAGGTCCATGAATTTTGGGATACCCCATTCAGTTTGCAGCTTGTGAAAACGCCTCACGTTTGCGTCTGCGCATTTTATTGATTGAGTGAGCACTCAGCAAGGTATAAAAATGCAATAAAGCATCTGACTAAATGGCCTGTTCGAGCTTTCAAAGTACCTTGATGAGAACAATACTCGTCACGAAGAAAATTGTATACGAACAAATTCACGATGGCATTGACCTCCCAACCAATAGGAAGTGACTTTGAGCTTGAAAGCATCAAATTTAGATATACTGAGATATGATCACTTTTTCTTGCCCAACAACCTTCGGCTATATCAAATTTATACTGAGATGCATCAAATTGCGCGCCTTTTTTCTTGCTGCCAGTCGGGTATATGGATAGAGTCCTGCAATAATGACATGTCATCATTTTTTCTGCATAAAAAACACGTCAACAAAATCAAATAATTTTAATGCAAAAGAGCACGAGAACACGCCATTGGTAGCCCCCTGCTTCGAACTCTTCCGAGGTGTATTCTTCTACTGAAGCGTTTGAAAGCAACGAGAAGGACTTGATTTTGAATAAGGAATGAGTAGGCGGAGCTTTTCTTCCTAAAGTATAATATCACCAAAAAAAGGGAAAAAGATACAAAAACACTAATTAATCAGTTTATTAGAATATTCAAGACAGAGAAAAGTGTGAAGGGGACGAGCAAAGAGAAATAGCTACACCTTTCATGGGTAGGTCTGACAATGGAATGGGGGCACAAAAACTCATATGCCTGGAAACGACGTCGTGACTTGTGATCATGGTTGTCCGATGGACCCTTCTGGATTAATATATAGGCGCTCTAGGATTCCAACTCGCGCGAGCAGGTTTTGTTTTTCTAGTTTCATGTTCAATTCATCCCCAATGAAAAAGCATCAACGTTGCGTGAGAGTTCTCCATCTCTCACCTTTCTTTGGTTGAGGGTCGACCAAACATGATAGAATTGAGGAGTAAAGTGGGCGTCGTCGAACGAGGGGACTGTCAAGTTAATTTGAGGTTTCATATTCAAGCTAAGTGCGGGATCTACTTTTACGGCAGAAGCTTAGGGGGTTCTCTGGGCCTTGAAGTTGGCTCGGGAATGGGAGATGCAGAGTGTCATCATTTATATAGTAAGGGAAATTCGAAGCACGCTTGGAAGGGAATGGGTTTCCGACGTGAGTCCCTGTGATCGTGAAGCTAATAGAGCAGCGGATGGTTTAGCCAACGGGGCTTGAGCCCATTCTTCAGATTCGGTGGTCCTGGCTTGTCCACCGTCAGCTGTGCAGCAATTTCTCCATCATGATCAAAGTGCCTTGTCTGATGTTGCCATTATGAACGGCTAGCTTTTTTGTTTTTGTTTCCTTTTGTTATAAAAAAAAGAACTAAAAGTGATTTATTAATATTTGCAAAGCATTAAATTTTAGAGAAAATGATAAAAATGGATTCTTGATTAAAATTTGTAGAATGGAATTTGCTATCATGTTTTAGTACTTGTTAAAAAAAAAGTAATCATTATTTAAACCAAAGTAGTTACTAGTATTTATAACGTTAGGATTTTAGTGATTAAAAATTTTGTGTAACTAAACTATCTCATTTTAATAATTTCTCAAAAAAAAGTTATGATTTAAATTAAAGTAATCACTAATATTTATAACATTTAAAAACATTATAAGTATTTCACAAAAAAAAATAATGTCAGAAAGGTCTTAAGAGGGTTTGAGAATAATTATCATGTTTCATGGTGCATATTTTAATGAAACTTTCTCGTCATTTTCCTTAAATTTTAACATTGACACTATTTTATATTTAATACATAAATACTGTTTTGCTTAAACTTGATTATCATTCAAAGTTAAACTCTCAAGTCAGTAAAAAATAAATCATGCATGTAACTCAATGATAATGCACTCAATGAAAAGGTCATATTCCACCAGGGATTATATTTAATGGATTGAACATCAAGATGCAATTATTTCACACTGTTACCATAATTCTTTGATATTATACAAACTGTGGCTTCATCACTAGAGGGAATTAACTAAGCCCAAAACTTTAAACTCCGTTTTGAAGATACAACTATTTCCTTCTAGAAAGCCCTTTGTTGGATCCTTTAGCTTGGCCAGTGGCACAAGCGTTCTTGATCCCCATGAGGGATTCGAGCTGGAGAAGTACCGCTTGCACACTAAACGATAGGGAAACAAGTAAGCATATCTTGAGAATTTAAAACTCACACTCTGTGACTCAATTTAAATTTCCAATTTAATAAATCTCACATTTAGTTTCAACATCTTGCCCCTTGATTTGGTCCTTGATACGCAAAATGTAGTGCACATATAATTTAGTGTTAGGTGGAACTGATGAGGTGTCTACATGCAGAAACAGTGAGATACTATTGCCCTTGCCCTCATCTTGTCCATTGGGGTAGAAAACAAGCTTCCTGCAACAACACCACCAAAAAAAAATCCAAAACATGCATAAAAAATAACATTAGTAAGTGATGGTTAGAGGCAGTATTTTGAGTTAAACTCAACTAGCCAATTCAAATAAATCCAAATATCTTTGGGTTAGGCTTAAGAGTTTAAAAAATTTTCTTTCCTCCAATTTTATTTGGGCTACCAAATAAATTCAGGCCAAGTCGAACTCAAATGGCTTAACTCGAATATCTGAATTTTTTTTAATTATTAATAAAATAATATAAAAATTGAAGATATTAATTTTTCAAAATAAAAATTAGATAAAAATAAAAAATAATATATAATAATTTGTATATTTGGGTCAGTCCAAAAGCATGAGGGATTAGGGCCGAGCTTAATTATATGGGTTTTTTTATATTATAGAATACTTTAAACCCAATTTGAATGGAGCTCAATCTAAATAAACCCAAGTCGCTTGAATTATCTACCTTAGATGGCTTAAAAGTTACGAAGCATTGTTCACATAATCATACATACCATTTGTAGTCTCCAGCAAGGAACTCGGACTCGTACTTTTCCAGAGTAGCTCTTGAAAAATTGTTAAATTTCCACCTATAGGAAAGAGGAACGGGTTCATCTATCATTGTTAAGAATTCTGCTCTGGAAGGAGGCTTGATGACCAAGATTTCAGCTCCAAAAATGCAAGTGTCCTCAATCAGATATCCATTTGAAGGATCACCGAACGAGTGAAGGTCCATAAATTTTGGGATACCCCACTCAGTTTGCAGCTTGTGAAAATGCCTCACGCTTGTGTCTGCACATTTAATTGATTAAGTTGGCAATAGAGCCGAAAATATACTGAGCCATATGAGCCAACTCATATGATCTCCGTTGACCCATATTCCCAACTTTAGACTCGGATATAAAAATGCAATAAAACATATGACTAAATGGCATGTTCGAGCTTTCAAAATACCTTGATAAGAACAATATTCGTCATGAAGAAATTGTATACAAACAAATTCACAATGGCATCGACCTTCAAACCAACAGGAAATGTGTTTGAGCTTGAAATTATCAAATTCAGATATACTGAGATATGTGCATTTTCCCTTGCTCCTGGTGCTTTTGAGCTTGACCAATCGGCTGGGTAGCAACGAATTATAGGATCATCATTTTTTCTTGGCCAACAATCTTCGGCTTTATCATATTTATACTGAGATATATCAAAATGCCCGCTTTTTTGGTCGCTGCCAGTCGGGCATATGGATAGAGTCCTACAATAATGGCATGTCATCATTTTTTTCTGCATAAAAAACACGTCAACACAAAATCAAATAATTTTAATGCAAAAGATCGAGCGCAAGAACACGCCATTGGTAGCCCCCTGCTTCGAACGCTTCCGACGTGTATTTTTCTACTGAAGCCTTTGAAAGCAACGAGAAGGACTCAATTTTGATTAAGCAGTGACTAGGCGGAGCTTTTCTTCCTAAAGTATAATATCACCAAAAAGGGAAAAACAAAACACTAATCAGTTCATTTGAATATTCAAGCCAGACCGAGAAAAGTGCGAAGGGGACGAACAAAGAGAAAGTGAAAGGCATGAATTAGAAAAGTTCTTGAGCGGTGGCTACACCTTTCATGGGTCGGTCTGGCAATGGAATGAGCTCGGTACAAGAAGCCATGTGCTTGGACATGACGTCGTGATGTGATCGTGGTTGTCAGAAGGATCCATTTGGATTAATATATATAGGCGCTCTAGGATTCCTACTCGGGCGGGCAGGTTTTGTTTTTCTAACGTAGTGTTCAACTCATCCCCAAGCCACTGCTACGACAAGAAAAGGATTGCATGCTATGTGTATCAGATCATGCCAATGGCAAAGCATCAAGGCCGCGTGAGAGACATGCATCTCTCACCTTCCTTGGCAGACTATGGTAGCTCTCAACAAATTAAAGGGCAAATCACAGTCAAGGGCCAATGGACAAAATTAATTGTTTTATGAGATCAAATTAGTTTAAAGGATCTAAATATAATTAAAATTCATTTTAAAAAGACAAAACTGGCTCTTATGTATATATATATATATATATATTTAGTGATGGGATAATTTACTATTGTTAAAATGACAATAAAACTTATTTTTCTCAAATGGAGACTTGTTTACTAGAATACAACGCTTTCTCTTAGCCACTAAGTTAACATTTTTGAATTGTTAATAAAATAATTAATGATTATTAAAATAAAAATGAGACCTTTTTCCCTTAAAAGGGGACTTACACACCAAATCATAACACTTGTTTCCCTTTATTACCAAGTTAACTTTTTGGAGTTATTAATAAGAAAATTAATTGTTATTAAAATGAAAATGAGATTTATTTTTTCACAACAAGTTTTAAGTACATTTAGGTCCTTTATTCTTGTAGAGTAATACAATAATTATTTGATCCTACATAGCAATGAATTTTAATTGCAAGATATTTGTTAAATCTTAATAATACAAATCATACGCGAGCATGCATCCGATTGCGTCTATCCCGTAATCACTTGGCCGCACCCTCCGGAATGAAAAGAACATGTTCACTGAGATTGGGTGTCTGAGTTGGAAGATGAATAGAGTAGGAAGCTCTTTCAAATACAACGTGACCATGGCCACTCTCTTATCTTCCTGCTCTCCTCCATGGCTGAGCCCTAATAGTAATTTGGATTTAAATTCAATTCCTAGTTATGAGCTTAAAAGTTGAAAGTATAATTATGTGCGATAAATATTATATTCCTTCTGTCCCAAACAATAAAATATTTTCAAAAAAAATGCATGTATTAATAAAGTTTATTAAATATACCGCTTTCTAATTTTATTTTTTTAAGACAAAAATATAAATTTTTTAAAAATACCCTCCATTTAATACTTTATTTATAAAACAACATTAAAAAGAGAGAATATATGAGAAGGGTAATATTAAAAAATATTTTATTAATAAAATCTTATTTTTGTCAAAATATTTTATATTTTGAGACTAAAATCTCATCTGTTCTGTAATTTGGGGAGAAAGTACTATAATTTTTGCCTGACAGAAAATAGTATATAATTTTTATATAAAGATCAGTGAAATATCAGATAAAAAGATAAATAATATATAAACATTAATGAACAAAGATTGATAAATTTGATAATTTTGTATGGGAATAGAAATAAAAATGAAAATATCAATAAAAACAGAATATAATGAATTTTAATGGGATAAAATAATGGACTAAAAACCATTTTTCCTCAAATTTTTTTAGAAATGCTGACATCAAATGCATTCATTTTAGAGAAAATTACATATAAATCCTCGTCAAATGTAGAAACTAAGCCAGATTCTTGAGATTTTAGTGTAATTTAAAATTAGGATGCAAAAATAATAATGCCTCTATTAAAAATACATTACATCAATCAAATAATTTTAACTATTTTATTAATAATTTATTAAACTTTTAATACATGATTAATTTAATTATTAGATTTGTGAAGTTGTTAAACACAAGAATTTGATATTTACATTTGGGATTCTACAGAAAGAGTTTTTTTAAGGTCTTCAGCTACCAAATCCATGCATTCCGTACCCTCTTGTACTTCCCTCTCCCTTTCCAATCTCCGCCCCACAAACTTATGAACAAAAACCAAGTTAAGTGTGGTTAAAATTACCGCCTTTTTTATTTTGTTAAAAATACACAAGCCTCTCGAAAAAGAAGAGAAGGCCTTTATAATGATCAATATTAATATATTCATACAAATTGAAGAAAATTGTACAATTTGTAAGTCATATATAATGCAGCTCATAATAAAATTCATTCAAATTCACAATACCACTTCAGTTTTGTTTTAGGATTCCAACTCGGGCGGGCAGGTTTTGTTTTTCTAACTTGGGGTTCAATTCATCCTCAAAGCACTGCTGCAACAAGAAAAGGATTGTGTGCTATGTGTATGAGATCATGCCAATGGCAAAGCATCGAGGTTGCGTGAGAGCAATTCACCTCTCACCTTCCTTTGTAGACTATGGTGGCTCTAAAATTAAAGAAGGAAAAATCACAATCAAGGACCAGTTGACAAAATTAATTATTCTTTAGGACCAGACAATTTTAATATTACTTTGCAAGATCAAAAGACTTAAATATAATTAAAATTTGTTTTGAAAAGATAAAACTATCCCTTATATATGTTTATTGTGATAGGAGAATTTATTGTTATTAAAATGAAAATGAAATTTTTTTTTTTGAATAGAGATTTGTCCACTAGAATAAAACACGCACTTCCTCTCAACCTTGAAGTTAATAATTTGAAGTTATTAATGAAGGAGTTTATTATTGTTAAAATAAAAATAGGACTTTTTTTTTTGAATGGGAACTTATTCACCAAATCACAACATTTATTCATCTCTATACCAGCAAATTAATTTTTTGAAGTTGTTAATAGAGAAAATTAATTGTTGTTAAAATGAAAATGGGACTTATTTTTTTATACCAAATTTTAATTACAAGATATTTCTTAAATCTTAATTTTACTAAATAAATCTTAATAAAAAAATATATATACTCTGTATATAGTAAAAATCTCGTTTGTATAAAGGCAGCAAAGCCACAATAAGAAAAGGATCATACGCGAGCATGCATCCAATTACGTCTATCACGTAATTATTTGTTTGCACCCTCCCGAATGAAAGGAACGTGTTCACTAGGACTGGAACTGGTCCTCCACCTTTCAAGCGAAGCCTCCTCTATTTTTTCTTTGAGATAGATGTTTATTTTAAATCATCCAGATTTAATATGGACAGTTCAAATTTAATATTTTTATATTTATATTTATATTTATATTTATATTTATATTTATATTTTTAAAATAAAAAATATATAAAAATTATAAAAAAATTTAACAAATATACTTATCAATATGATAGTTCAGATTTAATATAGATGGTCTAAAATTAATATTAAATTTTTTAATAAATTTACTGTTCTATTCAGAACATATTTACACTATTCAAAATATATCTGAAAAGTTAATTTAATTTTCTTATATTAAATTTAAATTATCTATATTAAATTTAGACTATCAGATTAATAAGTATATTTATTAAATTTTTATATATTTTTTATTGTAAAATATAAATAAAAAATAAAATAATTAAATCTGAATCGTCTATATTTTTCTCTACCTCAAAGGAAAGGTAGAGGAGGCTTCTCTTAAAGGAAAGAATCCGACTCCTTAAGACTGAATGTCGGAGTTGGAAGATAAATGGAGTGAGAAGCTCTTTCAATAACACGTGATCCATTGCCACTCTCTTAACTTCCTCCTCTCCTCTATGGCCGAGCCCTAATTTGGATTCCAATTCAATTCCCAGTTATGAGCTTAAAAGTTGAAAGTATAAATATGTGTGATAGATATTACTCCCTCTATTTAAAAATATAAAAAAAAACTTTAGGATTTCTTCTAAATATAATCATTATATTTTTCTAAAAGTATTCACATTAAATAAATCACTTTATATTTATTTTAGGGTGAAATACCTTATTAAATAAGGGTAAATATGAAAAAGATAGGATTAGTTTTAAAGATAAGTAATTACTTTATTGGGAGGATAAGATTCAGTTAAAAATGAATTACATTTTTCAATAAAGGGTGTATAATCCTTCCATCTTAAATAATAAAATACTTTTAAACAAAATTATACATGCCAATAAAATTTATTAAATATACTTTACTATCTTATTTTTTAAGATAAAAATATAAACTGTCAAAAACACCCTGCATTTAATACTTATTTATAAAAAAATTAAAAAAGGGATAATATTTTTTAGGGTAATATTAAAAAATTATTAATAAAATCTTATTTTTTCAAAGTGTTTTATATTTTGGGACATTTAATCTCTTTTAAAAATGCATTATAATTTAGGAAGAAAGTAATAAAATATTTGTCTAACAAAATATAATATAAAGATCAATTAAATATCAGATAAAAGATAAATAATATATAATAAATCAATGCATACATTAATGAACAACGATTTGATAAAATTGACAATTTTGTATAGGAATAGAAATAAAAATGAAATATCAATGAAAAAACAGCAT